TAAACGCTTTGGGCAAACGATGTCGTAGCCTGTTCCCGTCCTGGTTGAATTCGTTCGGTCCGATCGAGATAAACAACATCTTCTATCTGATCGTGGCCATTCGGTCCGTGTTGAGCAATTTGGATTCCGATTCACAGTTCACAGCGATGCAATCGGAGGACAACCAGGGCACTTTGGTTTACCGAATTATCACACTAATGCCATCCACCACGGATATGTGGGATGAAACTAAACTTTTCCTGGCCGAATTAATTGCGCATGTATGCCAACAGCCTCCGGATAGGGACGAATCTTTTCACTTGTCCTCAATTTTTCTCCAATCTGACGAACTCACATGTTTCACCACAGTGAATCCGGTCAATGGAGCTGTCGAAGTGAAATGGGCGGACTCGGAATCGGGTCCTGGTGCCATCTGTTCCGTACTGTTCGAGCACTCTCTGTCCGGTTTGGATGTGATTGAACGTCAATTGTTCGGTGCGATCGATGAGCATTGGCGATTTGCCGTGTCTATCCAGTTTACCGCGTCGTCCGAGACGCCACCGGATGCACCGCGTTTCAACATCACCAAAGTCGCTCAAATACAGAACAGTCACGTGCATGTCTGTGATGATCGCGGAGTTGTTTGTTCCCAAGGTATTCCACTCGCTGCATTGATTTAATGAACGCGCTCTTTGCCCTGTCTCTCCGGATGTACTATTTCGCTCAAATCTAATTTTATGATCTAACGAAGCGATGTTTTGTATTTCCTTATTTTTGGGTCCCTCTCATCTTACTGGGTCAATGTATTACGTAATTGTGAGTAAGGATAAATGGAACGGTGGCTTATTATCACACATGTAGACTGCCCAGCGATGTTTTGGCGCGTCTGTAATGTGTGTTTCACAATCATTCTCACGTTGCTGAACCCAGAGCTTAGCGGACGGAGCTTGTAACGAGTAACTTTGAAACTTTGGTAGTCTATCCGCTTTGTCCCGCATGCGGTTTCAGAAGGAATAAATCGCAAATGAAAAGATAAAACTTTGAATGTTTTCAAATTTGCCTCGTAATGTAACCTTACTGATAGTCTCCATCTTGCAATAGCGCAATTGCAACCGGGAGTGCTAAACGGACATAGTCGCATGCTATGCAACGTATGTGTTTGATAGAGGGAGAGAGAGAGGTATATCAGTTCAAATGTGCGGTATACGCGCATTGTTTTTCTTCTGTACAATACAGTTTTCTGTCGTTTCTCGTATGGTTTACATCTGTGCAGAAATTGTGACCACTAGCCAGTCTGTTTCGTGATTACATCTTTTCGATGCACGCGTGTGTTGACCCACAACGCAATCAAAAGTCGCCTCTTCACGATAAAAACGTGAAATCTGATTGTTCATGAGGTTGCGAGATCCGATGGTTATGACATTTCGCTGGGAATTGGTGCAGCTAATGTACGATTTCATTCTACTTCAGCTTCATGTGGATTTAATTGGTGCGTCCATTGAACAGTTTACCGTTTAGTTATCATCATCATCATCGTACCGAATCGCTGTTTGCAATTTTTCATGCCTCGTCTCCA